AGAGCAATAAGTCTAGGGCCATCAATCACTGATAACACTAAACTGATGAGCGGTAAAAGCTTTTAAAGCGTCGCCTATGGCCAATTTTGGGTATGGTAGTTTTCTGCAATTTCGCGGGTGCGCGCAATTTTAAAGCTTGACATGTTTGGTGTCTATTTACCCGACGTGACCCGATCTTTTATATTTTACCAAAAAACTGGTTAATAATAAATGTTTCCTAACATAATGTAAAAAAAAACTTTTTTTTCCCCAAATTTTCTGTAATTTTTCCTAATTATAGTAAAAAATAAAAACCCCAGTGGTGATTAAATACCACCGAAATAAAGCTCTATCTGTCCCCAAAAAATGGTATAAAATTCATTTCAGTACAGCGCTGCATGACGGAATAAACGTCAGTCAAAGTACCGCAGCGCTGAATACTGAAAAATGGCCTGGCCAGGAAGGGGGTCTAAACACCTGGTCTTGAAGTGGTTAACAAAAATGTATCTTATTTGTGTATCACTCAGCTGTAGATACTCCAATCATCTCTGTATTGATGCGGACACTGTTCTTCCTTCTGGAGGGTGGCTACTTTTGTTCCTCATGGTCCCTGTGTGTGTTGGAAAGTACCCACCACACCAAACTCACTCCCATGATGGACTACAATCTCATGTTTAGTTTACTAATTTGTAATGAAGTCATAGTCTATCAGGGGAGAGAGCTTGGAGTGGTCGCAGCTTTACTTCACACACAGGGACCCCAGTGAAAGTACGTGTTAAGTGACTGGGTATATCTGGGGGTCATTGTAGACCACAGATTAAATAACAGCTTGCAATGCCAGGCTGCAGCAAATAAAGCGAGCAGAGTTCTGGCTTGTATTAAAAAGGGAATTTACTGTAGAGACAAATCTATAATTTTACCACTTTACAGATCACTGGTTCAGCCTCATCTGGAGTATGCGGTCCAGTTATGGTCACCAATACACAGAAAGGATGTCCTTGAGCTGGAAAGAGTCCAGAGAAGGGCAACCAAACTAATTAAGGGGATGGAGGACCAAAGCTATGAGACAAGGTTACTAAATTTAAACATCTTCATGCTGGAAGTGAGGAGATTAAGGGGGGAAATTATTTTGATTTCACAAGATTTTCAATGGGGATAGCAACATCAGCAATAAACTTTTTACGGTATACTCCATAACGAAGACTAGAGGCCACCACCTAAAACTGGTGGAGAAAAGGGGATTCTTCACAGTTAGAGCGGTTAGGGTTTGGAACTCGCTGCCGCAGACAGTGATTTCCGCAGAGAGTATTGAATCTTTCAAAAAGCACTTGGACGATTTCCTCAGAGACCGTAATATTCAGGGGTACAGGTACTCTAAGTACAAGAACACACAGGAACTGTATGCATGTGGCTCTGCATACACATGCAGAGCCACATGCATACCCACAATGGGTTGAACTTGATGGACCTGTGTCTTTATTCAACCTCAAATACTATGATGTGACATGTCAGGCAGTTTTAGGAAGTCACAGCTGACAGCAGATCGAAATGTAGAAGTATTGTTTTAGGATCTGTATCAACAGGTTTTTTTCCTGTTGGAAAGGTTTGGAAGCCCATACAAGTCTATGGGAATGTGAAATCCACTTGAAGCAGGTCAGGAAGAAGTCAACTGCATGTCCAATGCATCTGTCATTAATTCTGAACGATCTCAGAAGTGTTTCAAAATGATGCCATTGACACAAGCCCAAAGCCCATCCGTACTGGCTCTTAATAAGATTTAATGATAAAATGGCCAGTTTGCCAGTTATAGATATATACTGTAATCTTTTTTTAATGACGCTGAAGTTTTTTTTTTAAACGAAAAATCCTGAAACCCAGGGGAAGAAAAAACCCGAGCACTGCCAATTTCTGATGTGAGCACCAGCTTTCACCAGGCACCTAAAGCAGATGCAGTAGCAGCAAACTAAACATAAATGAAGAAAAATAATAGTTTTTCACTGTCTCTTAGTGCGGAGAATGTCAGTGTCACAGGAATGCTCCATGATGGGATTACAGCAGAGAATGGACATGGTTTGTGTTCCTTACAAGCTCCTGTACAGCTGTGACCAGGCCACTTTGAACTAGATTCAGGGTGACTTCCCCTAAGCTCCAAAGCAGTTTTCCCATCCCATGGTCCTGTGTGAACACAGCAGCCTCTGTTCTGTGTATTACATCATAGTTGTTTTAAATAGACAGTACACAAAGCCGGCTTTGTATTCTGAACCAAACATTATTGGGTCTCCAGTGGTTTGTACTATTATGTCTTCAACTTGGCAGCAATTGCTGGACGCACATTATCGATGACATTTATGAAGAAAATGTACTTCTCAGCAGGCCCCTAAATGTAACTGAATATACTGTGTAATCTTATTTCACTGTGAACACTGAAAGATCGAGCTGGGTAAGGATACATACCATAGCATAAAATGGCTGCTATCTGATCCCATACCAGAATAAGGAAAAAACTCTAGACAAAATATGTTCAAACAGATGTAATAGCAACTGTGCAATTTCTACTTCTTTGTTTTGGTATCAGTCTTTTGCTATAAAGATGTTTTTTCCTGAAAACGGTGACCCCTTTTTCAGAACCTGCAATGATTTCTACAGTGGGTATAGAAAAGAATCACCCCCCTTTAAAATAATCACATTTTGATGCTGTGCAGCCTGAAATGAGGACAGACACAGTTTTCCTTTTATCCAGCTGTATTTACTGAGTGCAACTTATAACATCCAAGTGAAAGATATAACATCAACATGTCATAAAAAAACTAAAAAAATTCAAAAACCGAATCACTGTTGGAAAAAGGATCACCCCATGTGTCAGTATTTTGTTGCACCACCTTTTGCTTTAATTACAGCCTTTAGTCTGTTGGGATATGTCTCTACTAACTTTGCACATCTAGACTTTGCAATATTTGCCCACTCTTTGCAGACCTGCTCAAGTTCAGTTAAGTTTGATGATGACCGTTTGTGGACTGCAGTCTTCAAGTCATTCCACAGATTTTCAATGGGGTTTAAGTCTGGACTCCGACTAGGCCATGCAAGGACATCCACGGTTTTCTCCTTCAACCACTGTGTGGTTATTTTTTTGGGAAAGTAAACCTTCTTCCCATTGACAAGTTTCTGGCAGAGGGCAGCAGATTTTACTCAAGAATTTGACGGTATTTTGCACCATCTATTTCTCCTTCTATCCTGACAAATGCTCCAGTCCCTGCTGCAGGGAAACACCCCCATAACAGTATACATAACAGTATATTACCACCTCCATGCTCTACTGTAGGAGTGGTGTTATTTGGATGGTGAGCTGTATTTGGATGGTGAGCTGTACAACACAGACCCAAGGAGGGTCTGTGTTGTACCAAATACCTTCCACTTCTTAATAATAGACTTCACTGTGCTTCTAGGCATTTATAAAGCCTTTGAATTTTTTTTGTATCCATCTCCTGACTTGTGCCTATGTGTAAATTTATCCCGGAGATCTTTTGACAGTGCCTATAGTTGATTGTTTGCTTTAGTTGCACTATCAGGGACTGAAATACTCCAGTAAAGCTATTTTCATGCTGAGCTAATCAAAATGACCACAGCTGATCACAGTTGAAAGTCAAATGGCTTTGTGTGCCATTAAGGTGGTGATTAGCTACACCTGATTGAGTTTACAAATCATTTTTAGGAGGGGGGGAAACCCTTTTTCCAACTCAGGGATTCTGTTTCTAAATTTTTTTTTTCTGACATGTTGGGGTTATATCTTTCACTTGGATGTTGTACGTTGCACTGAAAAAATACAGCTGGATAAAACACAAACTGTGTGTCTCGTGTCTTCTTTTCTGGCTCCAAAGCAACAAAATGTGATTTTTTTTTTTAAAGGGGGGGGGGGCGATTCTTTTCTATACTCACTGTATATATAGTCACTGCCCCAACTTCCACAATACATCTGAACTCTGCATGTACAAAGCTGGTCACACTCAAGGCATCTTTTTCTCAAAATTCAATCACTTTCGATCAAGCTGATATTGAAAGCCCAAATGACCAAATGGATACTTTTTTTTCCCCAAATTTTCTGTAATTTTTCCTAATTATAGTAAAAAATAAAAACCCCAGTGGTGATTAAATACCACCGAAATAAAGCTCTATCTGTCCCCAAAAAAATGGTATAAAATTCATTTCAGTACAGCGCTGCATGACGGAATAACGTCAGTCAAAGTACCGCAGCGCTGAATACTGAAAAATGGCCTGGCCAGGAAGGGGGTCTAAACACCTGGTCTTGAAGTGGTTAAAATGTATAATTTTTTTTACAATAATATATATTTGTTAAAAATACAAAGTGTTCCTATAATGGAGAAAGAATATAATCAATTGAATTTCATGAAAAGTTCACCCCACATTCCTTCTTTCTCATACTCTTAAAATCACACGTACAGATTTAAGACCTTTCTCCTGTATAGATATCCTGAGTTTGCAGGGGGTAAAGGGACCAGGAAAAAGAGAAAGTAACACACAGGAGAGGAAGCCTGGTAATGATATATAGCTATGGAATTCTCAAACAAGACATGTCAGCCTATAGACAATAATTCCTATTGAGACATATGAATGCTCTCCTAAAATAGCCACATCCGGACTTAACAAAACCCTTTGCATTTCATTTTTGCTCTTATTGAGCCAGCTTTAAAAATAGATGCTGGACAGTGTCCCAGGCACGCATGGCTTAACAGCTACAAAAAGCATCAGCTATTCCAACAGCCATTTGGATGGCGTTCAAGTTAGCGTAAGATGTGGAGTGTTCCCTGCTCCGATTACTAATCACTCTAATTTACTGGTGAAATGTTACCTGTAAAATCTAATTGCTTCTCCGAATCTTTACTTGGGATCTTCAAAGGGCTGGAAGCAGAGAGCCGCTGAGAGAAAAGAAGAGTTATATTAGTTTTCGTATTTAATAAAAGTAGTGTTGTGCAGTATATATTTTCACTAAAACTGAAAAGGAGAAGTGGAAGAGTTGGCCATTACAACCAAGATTTTGTATTCAAACTTGCTCAGGCAAAATAACAATCGTAATCTTGATGGTTACCATTAGACTGGATCTAAACAGTCTGCTTTTCTCAGTCAGGCTGGCATAAACAATAATGCAACTATAAAGTTAAACACAACTACAAAAGCGTGTCCTGTAGTGCTCCAATTTTAGGTCATGTGAACCAAAACCAGCATGGTACATCATATGATTTGCAGCAGGCCTGCATTGTGGGAACTGACATCAACAGGGTCAGTACTGATGTCAGCAGAAGTTAGAGATTCAAGGTAACGTGACTTGAAGCCAGAGAACCACGGGACCTGCTTTCTACAGTGGCTACCATGCATTGTAAGCATAGATGTATGCCTATTACTTTTCCCTTGCTCTCCCTTCAAAATGACTTTCTGATTGAGTGAACCTAACTTTAGAGTTCAGATTAGCTTTAACACTTCTGTATTTTCTTACAGTGGAACTCTAGCCACAACTGTTATCAGGGCAGGACGTGGTGGAAAATACCTCTCTGTGGTCACAGGCAACAATGACAGCACTGTCAAGGAATTTAGAAAAATTAGAACGATCGGCCAGTGTGTGCACCACTGTGACCTTCTTCAAATTTTATAACTGACTGCGCCGTTGAAAAAGGCCATTATCATGGGAATGACCAATAATAAAGGGAAAGACCAATAATCACAGAGATTTTTCAACTGCCAAAACTCATTTGATGCTTGAAATGCTGGTTATTACTTGGCTAATAATATTATATTCAAGTAGTGATGATGCCCAAAGCAATCAATCAAATGTTTGTTTTCACTTTGCTACAGAAAATGGATGGAATACTATAGAAACAGCACCTTTCGTTTGTGTCTTGTATGTCTTTTACAGTGACGTGCATGTTGTTTTGGTATTGATTTTGTTTCAGTGTTGACAATTGTAGCCGCTTACATGTATGTAAATAGTATAGGCCTTAAACTATCATAATGGTGCAAATATTTTTATCTACCACAGTGTATGTCACTGAGTATCTGCACACAGTCCCAACTGCCCTTTAAATAATAGATATGCTTGCAACGTTTAAACATTTGGCTCACCTCTATACTGTACAGAATAATGTTAACATTCAGAATGGTAAGCAACTTAACATGGCATTTGGCAATTCTTTAAATCATATCCTTGGAAAAGTTGAGGAAACATTTTGTACAGTATTTACTCATAACCTCAACACTATATTTCTACTATCACCTGGCGTCTTTATTGATATATTTCTTCACGCACACAAAAACCGTTGCTAGACCTTAACACAAGGGACCCATTTCTCCCCGTCTTTGGCCCAGTTCCCAGGGTTTAGCTATATCTGACAAAGCTAGGCTCTCTGACTGCCAGAGTGACTTGCTCTTTTGAATGCAGGCAACACCAGACAGAGGGATATCCAGCCTGACATTGGCTGTATAGATATCACTCGGCACTCCACAAACTGGGACAAAGCAGCATGGGACTTCTGCAGCTTTAGTAAAGTAAAACAATTCAACTCTTACAGACTACCAACAAAAGCAGTACAAATGACACTGACCAGCAATGTTAAAAGGGGCCACCAACACTATGAAAGTGCACAATGACCACCACTGTTGTACATTTTCTTTATGCACTTTGTTGTACATTACATGATCCTGACCACTGCACTCTATAGGCTACATAGTCCTGGCTGCTGCACTCTATAAGCTATATTGTATGTTACATAGTCCTGACTGCTGTACTCTATATTCTTCATGCCATGATTGCTGCTACCCATAGGCCAAATAGTCCAGAGTTAAAATAGGCTGTTCTCTTTACAAGGTAATTTCAATTTTGCACAGGAATTTGCCCTTAGCTTAGTGAATGAGGTGAAGTTCTGCTGACTTCCATCACTCAATCATGTGCAAGCAAAAATACTTTTTTTTCCTTAAATGTGATTGGTAATATTTGCAAAATGAATTTTCACATTTACTAAGCTAAGGGTCCCTAAGCTTAGATATTCCTTTAGAAAGTGAACAGCTTATTTGCCTTTATTAAATGAACCCCTATATGTTATATTGTATGTTACATAATCCCTAACCCTGTGCAGTAAATATAGATATTAGGCTCTGGTTCTATTTCACATTTCCACTTCATGCCACTTCCTCTGTAGCAATTTTGCCATGGCCACCATTTGCCTTGGCATGCTAAATGAGATGCAGAATTCCCCCATCACTGCACCCCAGGCTCTTTCCCAATCCTAGCAATGCCCCAACACGCACATATCTCACAACCTCGTCTTTGACTACATTTCAACATGTATTTGTACAACCAATAACTTACCCCATAGATATAAGATTGATAGGGAATATCAAGTTTTTTTAAAATGGTAATGCGTTCACCTGTGTATGTATGTAATGTCCATCAAATCACTGTGCTACCAAAGACCTTGTGATTTGTTTGCTGAAAAAATACCTTTGTGTTATGGTTAAGGAGAAACTAGGCTGTCAATCAGCACATGCAACACAAACACCTCCGTTCCTACAATCATGGTGTCAGCTGTGTAAAGGTGTAGGGGGCGGGTGAGATTTGATATCAGTGGGTGCAAGGAGCACCCTGGGTAGCAAGAGAACAATCCCTATGGACTTGTCAGTGTAACAGGCATTTTGGGAGTGGTGATTTCAAAGCAGCTTGTAATAAAAGGGAGAACTTCAGATGACTGTGTTTTTATCCTTTTTTGGGAATGTAAAATGTTGTTATAAATTAGGCTAACCAACCAAATCATAGTTGGCCAAAACAGTTCAACACACTTGATAATTTGCATAATCTTTAAATGTGCCTCCAGCAAGGCAGGAATCTGTCAGATAGGCATCCAAAGCATGACATCACCACTCGTAGTTCCCAACAGGAGGCTGACTCAATGGCTGGGTCTCATCCATAGACTCTCACTCGGTTTTGTCTCTTCTACATAATAAGATCAGGTGATTCATTTTCATAAAGCTGTGAATATTGCCAGTTACTTTTTATCCCCAGTGCAGGGGGTTATTCAGAAGCTGCATCTCATGCGAAACCCTTTTCCTAACTTACAGTGTCTTATGAAAAAAGGTTTTATATTTCACATCAATATTTATCCAAACCCAACCTGAGCATTGGTAATTTATCAAAATAAAAGTTCTGACAGATATAGAATGCAGCTTCTCATACTAACATTTTCTGTAGTAACCCCCCTGTATTGATTACATTTCTCCTCCATATTATGGAGTAAGCCAAAGCCTAACTCCAGCCAACCTTTTTTATACCACTGAATACAAGTTGAAATCCGTCAGGTTTCTGGGGAGATCTTTCTTTTCCCCCCTCTTTGTGACATCAAGATATAAAAAAATGTGGGTGTAGTGGTTGTCACCAGGACAGGAAGATAGCAAAAAAAAAAGAAGTTTTCAAAATGTCTAACTTCCACCCCACAAAAAATGTGTCTGTTCGAGAGATTTTACATGACTTCTTACTAAAAGAGAGGAAATCTCCCCAACAGGTACATCGGCAGCAATAAAAACCTGACAAAGTCTTTAACCCTTGTCCACTCTATTCACAACAAAAAATGTGTTGTTTGCATTCCATATTTTCCATATTGCTTTATGGATATCCCATATCCATAAAGCAATATACTTTCAGGGTGACTTAACCTGTACTTTATTTTACCACAACATGATTCCACAAAGATGAGGATTGTACAGACATATAATGCAGAAGACCCTACAAATCTTTACAGAAAACATGACCAACAAGTGGCATGGCAAATAAGTCTACTGTAGTAAATCAAATAATAAACTTCTAGAAAATGTAAGATACTTTCCCTATGATCAGCCAATATTCATTGTAGGTTACTGTAATGAACAGGGTCATTAGTGATCCAGCACTTGGTCTGTTATTTCATAAGTGTATACAATCAAGTATTCCATGCAGGACCAAGTGTTTTTGTACAAATTGAGAAAAGGTGGGTTTATATGTAGTTGCAAAAAACATCCCCCCAATTGGAAAACCCCAGTGTAGAAAAAACAACATTTAGGAAAACTACTGGCTACATAAAATAGAGGTTGGTGCATAGACCCGCATTAAAGAGCTGCAGATTTAATTAATACTGAGTGATATAGTTCAGATTGAATTTAGAAAAACATAATATATACCTGCATGGGCAATACAGCAAGAGCCGGAGTTGATCTCACTGGTATCCCGCTCAGAGGGCTGCGGGGGGCAGTCTGCACAGCAACGTTAGGACTCCCACCACCTGGAAAAAGAATTCAGATTGTGTGTGTTTTTTTTTCTGATCTGAATATGCTCTTGAAATGAATCTTCTTCTGTCCATTACCTGCCCTTCATAGCATTGCATCACAGTGTATTGTAACTACACATTGAACAGGGATTTGGGTGCATATGTTAGTAAGATCACATGTTTGTGTTAGCACTAATTTCTCTGAAATGTAGAAGTAGTAAAGCAGCTGTACTTTACAGACAGGGGGTCACGAGAAACCAAAAAATCTGATATTTTCCACAGATCTCACAGTGGCTCTTAACATGTTTGCATGGATTATCTGAGTCCAGGCCATATGATAGACTTGTTGGTGTTTTCCACTGCAGCTGCTATGTGAATTGTCTTTGGAGACAAAAAAAAAACCAAAAGTGACAACTGCCAGCTTCAGTATAAGTATTCTTTGTTGGGTTTAGGAGAGCATTTTTGCAACTCTCTAAGTGGGTACATGGGACGCACATAATAAGGTGTCAACTTTCATGCTCATCTCTAGGAAAAACATTTTTTATTTTTCAGGTTTGAATTTGGATTGGGAAAGGGTCCTGTGTTCCCATTGGTGAGATTCACCTCTTTATATGTACTGAGGAAAAAGGTAAGGTAAATCCAACATTTTAGGAGGAGAATGGAGGAATCTCCTGCTGCGCTAAGCTTTGGTATCTTGCAAGTGGGCCCAGCTGCCTCTCAAAATACCTGAACAATGCCTGCATCCAATCAGATTGTTCAGGTATTTTGAGAGCCAGCCGTTGGAGACTCCTCCATCCACACAGTTTAGCGTAGATGGAGGAATCTGCTGCACTTTTTCCTTCGGACCAGAGAAAATCTGCAGATAATCTATAGGTGTATGGTAAGCTTAAGATTGTCCCGATGGTACACATACAAAAAAACAAAAACCTAACAGTGGGTTTTAACCCTTGCGTACTCTATCAAAAATAACAAAAAAGGTTTTGGCTATACATTCACAAGTTATGGCATAAAGTGACATCTACCACCGTGCTATATGTAGTGGTCTCATTTCTAAGCTGTCATAGAACCTTAGGATGAAAACCACCAACATCTGTCGGTCACTTTAGACTCTCTGTATAACTGCTACAACAGTCTTAAGGTGCCCATACACTGCTCGATTCTCGTACGAGAATCGCGGGAAATCCCGCGATCGTACGAGAATCGAGCAGTGTTTCTACTGTACGGTCGCACGTCTTTTGTCTAAGGAGCATGCTAGAAAACCAGCATAAAATCGTACGATTTTCGGCTGGTTTGAATGTGCTCGGGAGACAAATGCCGAACGGGCCGCGCACATTGCGGTCATCGGAAGCCCGCCCATCAGGGGGGCGGGCTTGCGATGATCGAGAGTATGATCTGCCTTTCCAAGATGGGCAGATTGTATGTTTTTTTAATCACTTTACAACCATCGCAAGACTAAGGTCTTGCGATGGTTGTACAGTGTATGGCCACCTTAAGCCCAAACTGGGAAAAAAAAGTTTTATTTCCTAGACAATCCTTGTTGATTGTTATTTAACATGTGCAAACATTAAAAACACTTTCTGGAGGGAGATGAAGTGATTCATGCATTGGGCAACTCTTACCTTGGGGAGCCGTGTCAAAGGATTTGATTAAGGATTTGACTGTAGCTGGAGGTTCACTAGAAGAGTTTGATATTTGGTTTGGCCCAAGACTCTGCCATCGGATAGCATTATCTCCATCTATAGGACCATCTTCACATAATACCTTCCTGTAATAAACATGCATAACTCGATAAACTACTTTGGTAGGTACAGTATTTATTAAAATCTATTAACTTATAGCACAAGAAGAAGTAACAGAACCCACTGGACATTCTCATCTTAGGATGTAGTATATAAAAGTAGATATACAACTCCTAGAAACCACAAAATCTATAACATGGTTTATGCCTATTGTTACACTAATGGAATCGGCTCAAACTGTAAAAGCAGTTAAATTCTTCCTGTACTCTTCATTCTCAGCCGCAACAGGCTTCATACAAGCCCATGTTCACTAGCCCATCAACATATTAGAAAAGCGTTAGTAAACTTACTGACAGGTAGTGAAGACATCCAGTGGACTGGATTCCTTTGATATACTGTAAATTCAGCCCATAAAGTGACGCCAGCAGAATGTGTGTGTGAGGGGGG